ATTCAGCTGCAAAACCCTCACAGGTGACACCTTTGGCTCCTTGTCTCTAAAACTCCCCTCAATTGACAGCTCCCTGCCTTAGTCCTCACTGGACCGACTCCAGCTTCCCGAACAAAAGTCCCTCCTCATTTGACTTCCGGGACATAACACGCACCTGACTTCCCTTCTCCTCCTCCGCCGGCGCCCTCCCTGCCTTCTGACTCCCTGACATCTGGAGTTCACAGGGCGGGCCAGGACCCCCTCCCCCTCACGCCTCCTCCCTCTCACGTCTGTCTCACCCACCTCCACAGCCTCAGTTTCCCTTTTCTATCCCCAGCCCTGGACTCTCCTTAGTCCCAGATCAGGGGTCCTGCAGCCTCTTAGATGCCTCCCCCTGGAATCCCCTAGATCCTTCACACCTCCAGGTCCCATCTCGTCTCGATGTCTCTCCAAACACCATGTCCCGTCTCAGAGGCCCGCATCCTCAGGACCCTCCCTCATCTGCAGGGTGCCTCCCTCCCCACCAGCTTGTCAGCTCCACAGCCCGGAGGCCTCCCCAGTGTCTCCTGTCCCCCTGTCCTTCCCTGCCCCCAGCCCCATCCAACTCAGGGCTCAGGACCCCTGCTGTCAGCCTCTTCATGGACGCCTGGGGGATCTTCCTAAACACCCAGTCCAGCCTGTCCCTTCTTTACCTAGGACTCTCCACGACTCCCCAGGATCCCCCAGGACAGTCTAAGGCCCTCAGCCCCGCGGTGCCAGCCCCTCAGGATAGAAGCATGGCTGTTAGAGATTTGGGGGCTGAACATATGTTTCCCCCAAATTCTCAGACAGCCAGATGGGTCATTACCAGACAATTGACAGAGCTTCCAAAAAGCAACCAAAACCACAGAACTCGTAAAATACAAGTTAGAATAAGAAACTGAGTGACCTCCAGCACCATCTTGTGGAGAGACCCGGCACTGCCCAGGCCCTGGCCTGCCCCTCACCCGAGGGTCCTAACAGACCCGTTCGGGTGCGCACGCCTCCTCACCTCCCAGGTCCATTTCCAGCTCCACCTCCAGAAACACCCGGAGTGGCTCTGTGCCCCTGCACACCTGGCAGGGTGCCACCCCCCACCTCCTGCCTTAGCCACGCTCTTCCCTCTGCCCGGCACACCCTACCTACTCCCTGTCCATCCTGAGTATCAATTCGGATACCCCCTCTTCCAATTCCAAGTCCCCTAGCCTGGCCTTGGGTGGACTTCCACAGCACGATGGCGGCTCAAACACCAGCAGCAGAATCGCAGGCCGACTCACAGCCCAATCCTAACCCTGTCCTGTGGTTTCTTTAAACTTTTGCAACTCTTAATGAGGAAGGCATCATTATCATCACCCCCGGTTTACAGACGAGGAAAGGAGGCCCAGAGAGGCGCAGCCACCTACCCCAGGTCACCATCAAGCAAGCATCTGCCCAGGCTGGACCACCCCCTCCAGCCCTGACATAGGACTGCCCCCTGAGCCCGAGCCAAGCTGCCTGGGGAGGCACTGGAGCCCACTCTGCCTCGGTTCTCTCTGCACCCAGACCCGTCTCTGGCCATCCTTCTGGGCCGGCTCTGCTTTCTCTCCCTGGTTCTTTCACCCGCAGGCCCCAGCCCTGGTGACTCCCTTCAGTTGGCTCCAGGAACTCATCCGGAAGGCGCAGGGCTCCGCCGGCCACCTGCTGAGCAAGGGCACAGTGCCCTCTCTCGAGCCCCTGGGAGCCTGGGTTTGCTGGGGCCATAGCTGAATGGCTTGGGGTCTGATTTGCTAACTGCACTGAGCCCCCAGGAGGCCATCGAGCCACGCTGATCATTTCAGCCCCCACACTCAGCGCTTCCTGCCTGCCATGGCATTTAAATCCTCACACCACCCCGTAAGGGGGGGGGCGCTACGACCATCTCCATTTTACAGATGAAGAAACTGAGGCCCAGAGAGGGTGAGCTGCTTGCCCAGGGCCTCACAGCTGGAAAGACCTACCGCTTGGGACTGAACCTAGCCAGCCTGGTTCCAGGAAGAAGAGAGGGAGGCAGGAAGGAAAGGCCGCCCCTCATCGCGCCCCTCTAGCTGGCTCCCAGGAAGAAGCAAGGGAGCCAGGCTGTCTGGAGCCCCTGCCAGGGGCCACCAAGAGTCCCTAAGTCCCAGCCACTTGGGCCAGCAGTTTCCCCCGTCCCCCTGCTGGTTTCCCTGCTGTCTCCCCCTCTCCATCCATCCTGGCCAAGTCCAAAGTCCTCCCTCTGCTCTTTTGCCCACAGCACGAGGAAGAGGGAGGAATGTCTGGAATCGCTGGGGGTCTGGGGTCCCTGGGACTCCAGGCAGCCACCTTGTCGTGACAGCGCTGGTTCATGGCACGTGCCTCACATGCTAAGGCCCATGTTGGTGTCTGGTGTGTGTTCCGTGCTCCCAACAACCTCACGTAGGTAGGTAGGTAGGTAGGTAGCACTAGGATCCACGCTTGACTCAGGGAGAAACTGAGGCCCAGAGAGATGGTGTCACTCGCACAGGATCACACAGCAAAGAAGTGGCCGACGCAGATTCAAACGCAGGCCTGCGCATTCGACCCCAGACTCTGTGTCCTTAACCATGGAAGCTAGTCTCCCCACCTTAGCCCCAGGTAGAGGACAGGTCCAGGGTCAGCTGAGAACTCACTGAGGGGCGAGGGGAAACTGAGGCAAGGAGCCAGGAAAGTCATGTGGGGAAGCAGGGAGGTGGTGGCACAGCCCCACAGATTTGGTTAATAGTTAACGCGTGGAGGTGGCTTCAGAAGGGGGTGGGGATGGGCCCAGGAGGGCTGCCAGAGAGAGGGGGCTCCCTGGGGGAGGAGGGTGTGGAAGAGAGCACGGAAGGAGGGGTGCCAGGCAGAGCCAAAGTCGGGGGTCAGGGAAAGGGGGACTCACCGTCCTTCTCCGCCATGTCACGGCCTCTCGTTAATGATTCCCCGGCTGACCTCCTGGGCCGGGGCGGGACCTGTGGGGAGACGAACGGGGAGGCAGGACCCAGGGGAGCCCAGCCTAGCCCTGGTCCCCCCAGTCCCAGGCGCCCATCCAGGGAGGCTGCAGGGACTGGGCCCTGGCCAGAGCACGCCGTGATCACGGCCGCAGACTGGGCTGGGTTCAAGGATGGGGTCAGTGTCTGACCAGCGGCCAGGGGGACGCGTGGATTTGCAGGGCTGGGGGCCCCCACGCCCGGCCTGGGGGAGGACGGGACTGAGGGTCTGCACTCCTGGATCTGAGGGAGGAGAGAGCTGGGGGCCTGAACTCCCGGGTCCTGGGGAAAAGGAGTTTGGGGACCAGGACTCCTTAGCATGAGGGAGGAAGGGCATAGGGCCCAGGCTCCTGGGTCTGAGGGCGGAGGGGCCTAGGGCCCAATCTCTGAGTCTGAAGAAGAGGGGGCCGCAGCTCTGAGGCGCTTGGAGAGAAGCCAGAGAGCCCATTCTTGGGGTCCCTGGGAGCCCCTCTCTTGGGAGGTGGCACTAGGTTGGGTGGGGGTGAGGGGACCCATGTCCTGGGGACTGTCACTGAGGGGCCTGGTCCTTACCCTGGGGTCCGGCAGGTGGGGGCCGAGCTGAGAGATGGTGCCGGCTTGGGGTCAGTCTCCAGGCCTGGGCAGGGGCATGGTGGCCCCGCAGCAGCGGCGGCCCAGGAGGCAGAGGCAGCGGCCAGCGGCGTGAGGCCTGCTAGGCCTGGCTGCCTCACCTGAGGAGGAGGGGGCTGGGCGAGGGGCGGGGGAAGGGGCGGGGAGGGGCCGGGCAAAAGGATTGGCAGCATCGCAGGCCACCTGGCTGGAGGGGCAGGGTTTGCAGGGGCTGGACCGGGCCGGCCCAGCAACCTGCCTCGCCTCCGGCCAGGAGGGGGCCCAGGTGTGCCAGTGTGAGGGGAGGTGGGAGCGGCGACAGGCTCAGCCTGAGGGCCAGGGGTTTGAGGAGACAGAGCAGGCTGGGGGCTGCCTACAAGGAGTGAAGGATGGGACATCAGATGGAGGGCCCCAGCTGCCCTAGCCCACCCTGCCCCTGCCACCTCTCCTGCCTCCTGCCCAGCCCCCACCCGCCCCAGCTCCAGGCTAACTCTGCCCTTGTCCACCCCTGCCGCTTCCAGCACCCCCTGCCCAGCCCCAGGCCAGCCACTGCCCCTGCCATTTCCTGCACCCCTACCCCTGCCCACTTCCAGGCCCTCCCCACTCAACTCCGGCTCCAGCCTCGGCCCCTTCCATGGCCCCAGCCCCTGTCTGCTTTGCCTTGCCCGCTCTACCCCCCCAGCCCCCTCCCCCAGCTGCTTTCCTACAAGTCACGGGGGCTGGTTTGCTTTGGCAGCCTCTCTGCCTGCAGCAATGACCTCTGGGGCTGGGAAGTCCTCGACAGGGGGATGGGGGGTTGGGCCGGGAAAAGGCCACGCTCAGGGCTGAGGCCCAGGCCAAGTGGCCGGAAGTGTCCAGGCAGATACACACTGTCCTGCCAGCAGCCAAGAGTGATCCACATCAGACCCCAGGACCAGATAAACAGCCGGACACACAAGGGTCACCAGCAGACACTTGCCTGTGGACAGCATGCACCCACACACAGTCAGACCACAGCTGCTCACCTCAGACAAGCCATCCCCCTACAATCGCCCCAGGCCGCCCCTCCACTCAGAGCCACGGGCCCCCACGGGGACACACTGTGTGGCCTTGGTGTTGCTCAGCCCTAGATCTCCGCCTCTCTTCCTCTCTGCCTCTCTTCCTCTCTCCATTCATATCCCCCTTGCTCCTTCCCTCCGCCTCTCCCCAGCTCCCACCTCTCCAGAGACCCACACTGCTAGGAGCACAGCAAACCCCAAAGCTCTGCCCTGCCTCTCTTCTCTCCACAGCATCCCCGTCCCCGCTCCAGGGCCGCCTCTTGGCTCCCATCTGGCTCCCTCACCACTCACAGTCCCTCGGAGCTAATGACTCCAGGGAGGGTCCCCAGGAAAACTGAGGCCCTTGGATTTTGGGGGGTGGGTAGAGGGTGTCTGGGCTCACGAGACAGACTACGAATCAAGTCCAAGAATTTTTATTTCATGAACAAAACTATTTGTGTAAAGAGAGACGAGGCTGAATGGGCCCCTTTCTAAGTGGCCACAATCCAAGGCTGGTGAGAGAGGGCAGGTGGGGCCAGGGCAGGAGTGCATCACAGGGAGCAGGGACCCCAGGTCCAGCCAGAGGAAGCGGGAGGGGAAATGTGGCTAGGGTCGGAGTGGGTCCCAGAACCCCCCGCCCCAAACCATGCTGGCCCATCGTGACCCTCTCTGGGCAGGGAGGGGGCAGGGAGGGGCTGGGCCCCCTGGTGCGTGTCTGAAGCGGCCAGTGTGTGCAAATCAGCAAGAAGGAGGGTGCGGGGCCGCTGCCCCCACCTCACCGCCCCCCCACAAACAGGCAGCAGAAGCAGGGGTGGGGGCAGCGGCAGTATTGCTTTACCCGTCATGCACGACTCGGGTGGGTGATGGGGCAGGAGGAAGAAGGCTGGATTGGGGTGTGAGCCAAGCCCCCTGCCCCTCCCACCCTGGTGGCTCCGTCGGCAGGGCTCTGAGGCTTGTGGAGGCCCGGGATGGCCAACACCCACTGGGGGTAGGCTGTGGCTGTGCCGGATGTTCCCCATTAGGGCCGGCTCTTCCTTGAGGTGGAGCCCAGGGCCTGAAGGTGAGGGAGAAACAAGGGATCAGGGACCGAGGGGGCTTATGCCTCCCAGGCCCTCCAGGCCCTGCCCAGCCACCCACCTTACCAGGGCTATTCGGCCACCTGGACGCCCGTACAGTTCTCTTTGCTTTCTGAGGTGATGGCCAGGTATTCCGAGCTGTGGTGGCAAAGGCCAGGTGTACAGGTACCCCATCATCAGTCTGCTCCCCCAACCCCACCCCCACCCCCACCCCAGAAGGCTGAGGAGGGCTGAGGTCTCTGCCCCAGGTGCACAGGGCTCCAGTTAGAGGAGGGGGCTGCGGGCTGGACTTCTAGGGGTCCCCAAGAAGTCCAGGCCGGGGGCCTGGAGTCCTAAGTCTGAGGGAGGAGGGAACCAGGGGCTCAGACTCCCGGGTCCTGGGGGAGAAAGGGGCTGGGGGCCTGGATTCCTATATCCTTGGGGGAGAGGATGCTGGGCCTGAACTCTGGGTCCCAAGACAAGTAGGGGCTGAGAGTGTGAGGGAGGAGGGGGCTGGACCTGACCACGGCCTTGCCCCCCTTAGGGAAGTCCTGGGTGCCCCGGGGTGCCTGCTCCACCCCCAACCCCACTCACGCGTTCTCCTGTGCAGCGGCCTCTGTGGCAGCCGCGATCTTCTTGTAGCAGTACACCATCTCTGCCACGAGCCATATGGTCAACACCACGATGAGCACATACATCATAATCTCCGACACGATGGACGCCATGTCTCTGTTGGCTGCAGGGGCCCTGGCAGCGTCAGGGGGCAGCCGAGGCCAGGCTCAGGAGCCACGACAGCCTGAGCCGGCCTCCAGCTTGCTGTGCGAGCTTGGGCAAGTGGCTGGACCTCCCTGGGCCCAGTCTGCAAATGAGAACATGCTGCTTCCCCGGGGCCATCCTGGTTACTGTGACCCTTAATACACAGCTTCACATGGGCCTCGGGGTCACCCTCACCCTGCCTCCCTGTGTAACTTGGGGGCACATCTGTGTCATCCAGGTGGCTACAGGTGCCCCAGAGCTGTAGCTCTGCCACCAGAGGGCTCAGGTTCCAGTCCTGCCTGTGCCGCTTGCCACGTGTGGCCTTGGGCAAGTGACTCAACCTCTCTGGGTCTCAGTTTCCCCATCTGTAAGAAGTCGATAATCACAATATCTCCTTCATGGGGGGAAGGGGGGGGGTTGTGAGAATTAAATCAGCTTTAAAAATCCTTAGACTAGTGCTGGACATATAAACAGCACTCGATAAATGTTTGCTATTATTAACATAATTATTACTGTTATTATCGGGGCAATACAGCATAGTAGTAAACATCAGGGGCGCTGGGGCCAGACTGCCGGGGTTCAAATCCAGGCTCTGCCTCTTACTAGCTGTGTGACCTCAGGCAAATGACTCCACCTCTCGGCCTCATTCCCCCTCTGTAAAATGGGGACGATAATACTCCTGCCCTCTCACAGGGCTGCTGGAAGAGAAAACGAGTTAACACTCCTAACGTGCTCCGGATGCGCGCGCAATCAGCACTAAGATGGCTATTTGCTGTCATTTCTGGAAACCTCCAGCCATCCCGCAGCGCTAGCCCTTGTCATCGCCAGCTTCCTCTCACTGGGCCTAAATTTAAACTGCAAAGGCAGCAGTTCAGCAAAGGGACCAGAGCGGAAGGCAATCGCGGCGTCCTCGCCTGCCCTCGCAGGTGTCCCCTCCGCATCCTGGCCCCTCCTCTCCGAGGCCGGATCTCATTTCCGCCGTCGGCACGGGTCATCCTCCCCCATGAGCGAGCACCCCACCCCGACCCCCGCCCTGGTGCAGATGGCACCGATGCTTTCCCGGCCAGAGGGAGGTGGGGGTGCAGGACTGGATGCTTCTCCCCGCTTCCCTGCAGGAGGAGCCGGGACGGGATTCCACACCTCGTTCATTCATTCATTCGTTCATTCGTTCTTTCGCTCAAAAGATATCACGAATGCGTCTCAGGCGGTGACTGCTCTCAGCCAGACTCCGTGCTTTATCCGAGCATCTCCCTGACTCTTCCAAACCACCCCAGGGATAGAGACTGTCCTGGCTCCCAAGTCAGCTTGGGAGGACTCAGGAAGACACTGAGCTGGGTGTATGTTGGATAAAGGTCACCTCATTGGAATTCTCAGCCCTGCTCCTGGAACTCAATGCCCACATGACTTGAGGTGACCTGGAATCTCCTGCTCTCCGGATCAGATCAGGACAGCGAGAGGCACTGCTCTGTAGCCCGTTTTCCAGACAAGGACCCTGAGGCCCAGAGTGGAGAAGGTGCTGGGCCAAGGATGAACAGCCAAGATTCCACTCGTGGCCTGGGTTCAACCCCAAGTGTAAGTGACTGCAGGGTCTGAGCTGTGCAGTAAAGCTTCCACAGCCAAAGAAAGACCTAGCGATAGCTGCCGTATATCGAGTGCAGCCTCCATCAACCCACACAAACACCTTGGGGGTGGGTCTGTCGTTCCCACCTTACAGATGAGGAACCGAGGCAGAGGATCACACAGAGGGTCAGAGGCACCTTCTCTGGGGAGACCTTTGATGTCTTCAAAAATGCCAGCTCTCCTAAGAGCTCCACCCACCTGCCCGCACAGGCAGCCCCAGGTCTGAGGCCCCAGCCTGCACCCCTGCAGCTGATTTCTCACAGCCCCAGACACCGCTTTCCCTTAAGACATCTTCCACTCATACGGAGGACACCCCAAACAGAATTAGCCCTCTTGTCCCCATGTGCCGGCCCCAGTCCTGGTGGGGGACCCCAGGTGCTTCCCACCATCTTCTGAACCTCTGCCAGGGCGGAGGGGGTCTTGCCACCAACACCCACTGCCCCTCCTTTGGAAAGACTCAGTTCATTCCCTGGGGCTTATCACCAGGAGGCAATACAGGTTGATGAGTAACATTGAAACCACAGTAAGATGGTGGGGTATAATAAAAAAGAATATGGTACGGCCGGCAACGCAAACCAGACAATAATATTACGGGTAATGAAAAAAGTACTGTAGTATGACGGGTAATGTTAAAAATACTACAGTATGATGGGCAATGATGAACATATTATAACGTAAAAAGGAAAATTTTAAAATACTACAATATGATTGATAATATTAAAATACTATAGCATGGTGAGTAATGATAAAAATATGATAGTATGGTGGATAAGGTTAAAAATACTCTAGTATGATGCGTTATTATAAAAATACTGTCATATGTTTGGTAATGTTAATATAGTATAGTTTGGAATATGATATAAAATACTATACTCTCGTGGGTGATGTTAAAAAGGCAATACTACAATCTGGTGGATAAAACACTGGAGCGTGGCAGATAACTCTGAGGCCACAGGCTCTGGGAAGACAATATATCACGATAACTGTTGCTCAGAACACAGGCTCTGGGAGGTGGTGTAACATGTAGACAATGCTGAAAGAGAGGCCCTATCGGGTCCCGGGATGCCCGGCCTCAGCCTCCACCACACAGACGAGGGCAGCGTTCTGAGCGAGGGCCGAGCCACAAGATGGAAAGAACCTGGGTGCCCGAGGGCCTCACGGAGCCCCCCTCCTCCTGACCCCTCACCGCAGCACTGATTCGGGGGACAGGACTGACTCAGATTTTCTTAAGCCATGGGATTTGGGGGCGTCTTTGTTACAGCGACTCCACTTCCCCCCACTCACACAGGCGGGGCTCCATCCTCTATGTCCGTGGGTGGCCGCCCACCCAGCATCGTGACCTACAAGTCGCTCAGACACTTCTCCTGCACTGAATTCTGTGGGATCACTTTGACAATAAACGTAAAAATGTTAATTATAAAAAGAAACCCACAGGCTCTGGCTGACAACAGAGCAGAGTGAATCATGCTAACAGAAACGGCCGTCGCACAGGCGCGGTCGGGTTCATATCCAGGTCCCAGCTCTGTGACCCTGGCCACGTAACCTAACCTCCCTGAGCCTGGTCTCCCCCACAGTAAAATGGGGATGTCCCCTGCCCCAGAGGGTGGGGGAGGATTCGAGGAGGGACTCCACATTTCCCCACTCCGTCCTGGGGAAAGGAAGGACCCCGAGTGTTGCCTGTGACGTGTGTGCGCTGCGGGCCCCGCGGGACGTACCTGCCATGGCTCTTTGCTGGCCCGAGGTCAGGGATCTCTCCCTGACTCTCTGAGCCAATGGCCTGTAGGGCCTGGAAAATTCCAATTTACACCGATCAGAAGATGGTTCAGAGAAGGGGTCGAGGCAGCTAAAGCCAAAATGGTGGAAAGTTTCAAAAACACTTTAGATCCTGGCTGCTCAGTGCGGCCCCAGACCCGAAGCATCGCCTCACCTGAGAGCTTGTTAGAAAGGAACCCCGGGCGCACCCAGATCTGCTGAGTCAGGACTGCACACCAGCAAGCTTCCTGGGAGTTCGTGTGCACAGCGGAGTTGGAGGAGCACTGCTCTGGGTGACACACTCACACCAGGACAGAGGGAGGAGGGCTCGGGCTACTCGACCATCAGCACCACCACCATCCATCGCCCCCACGTCCGGAGGCCCCGCTCTGAGCCAGCCACGCTCCAGGAGCTGACAGCCAGCGAACTGCCTGATGCCCCCAACCTTCCCAGGCCACGAGAACGGTTCAAACAACACCCTGAGACCTTTCATCCTGTTTCCTACAGGACAACCCTTTGGCCCAGAGACAGAAAGGCACCTGCCGGAGGTCACACAGCACAAGCGGCAGAGCCGAGTTCTGCACCCAGAACTTCACCGGAGAGGCCCACGGTGACCTCTCCGTGGTTGGGGAGAAACGGAGGCCAGAGCTGGAGCTGGGGAAGGAGCTGCTGCTCCCCGGCTGCCGTGGGCAGCTGGCCGGCCCAGGCGTGGAGCCAACCTGTCCTCTCCCTGCCATCTGTGCCTCCATCTGGCCGCCGGTGGGCAGCAGGGCCTGACTCACCCTTGTCCACCACCTCAAGGTGGATCTTTTTGACGACGCTGGTGTTGTGCTCGTAGTTCTCGAAGAAGAGGAGGCGGTAGACGTGGCACTCGTAGTCGCCCGAGTGGTTGTAGGTGACGTTAGTGATGAAGATGGACAGGTCCTGCAGGTCCTTGGTGCCCCGGCTGCCGTTCCACACCACGCGGCCCTCAAAGCGCTCGTCCTCCTCCAGCTGCAGCACCTCGTTCTCGTAGCGCAGGATCTGGGGGCGGCGGGGCCGGGGTCACTGCCTGCGCCCGTCCCCCCACCCAGACCTCTATCCTGTCCCTCGCCCTGACACACGGAGAGACAGACGGACACACGCAGGGACTCAGGCCCCGTGACCTCAGGCGGGGAGGGCCCGGGGAGCCGGGATCACGCCTGCGCCTCCCCCGGACCCCGACTGTGCCCCCCGCCCTGAGACACACACTCACACATTCCTCAGTCACCTCCCGGGCGCCTGTTCTGCCTTCCTGGCCTCCAGTCTCTACAGTTTATCCCCGGCCACCAGGCACACTCCTCAGGCAGGGACAGAGGCAGCCCGATCCCAGCTGCTGTAGACCCCCGTTCTCCAGCAGGCCCTAAAAGTCTACGGCGCCCCTCAGATGTAACTCAAAACACACACAGTGTACAGGGGCTCAAACGAATCCTGCTATTCTCCCAGGATGACTGTCGGAGACGTTTCTGCTGGTACTAAATAATTCCAATGGTATTTATTTTGTGCCAACCACGTGCCAGGTGCATCGACTCAGTGCTCACGCAAACCTGAGCTGGGGACCATCGCCACCCCATCTTTACAGAGGAGGACACTAAGGCTCAGAGAGGCTCAGCGACCAGCCCAAGCTCACAGGCTGGTCACGGGGGGAGCTGGTCATCAGTAGTAGCACATTATTGAAAGCGAACAAACAACCCCTCCGGGAACCCGGCCCCTAACTCCGCACAGACGCCCACGCTCCACACCCGTGCCGGGTGCCCCGCACCTTGACGAACTCCTCCGTGCCCTTCTGGCGGAAGGTCCACTCCGTGAAGGTCTCGGCGGTGGTCTCGCTGCGCCGCTTGCAGGAGATGCACAGAATTTTGAAGGTCATCCCGTACACGGCCTCAGTCTCTGAGTCCACCTCCACGCAGCCCCCCCAGGCTGAGGACACTGTGGAGACAGCAGACTCAGGCCGGGCAGGGGCACCCGTCACCCTGGGCAAGGCCAGGCTCACTGGCTGTTGGCTCGCGGGCCCCCTGGAAATCATCTGTTTCCTCTCAATAATGATTATGAAGGGACAGAACCGGACACCAAACCTGGCCCTGCCACGTGCTGTGTGCCCTTGGCAAGTCACTCATCTTCTCTGAGCCTCAGTTTCCCTCTGTGAACACTGAGGGCCATGATATCTTTGCTTCTGGAGGTTGCTGGGCAGATTCCGTAAGTTAGGGGAGGCCCAGAGGGGCCCTGGTACACAGGAGGCCCCCAATCAATAGGGCTGTCAACGTTGTCAGTAACTCGGGGTCTTTGTTACCCAAGTACCCCTTCTTCAGAATGTCACTTGCCCAAGGTACTGCAGCATCTAGGTGGCGGGACTAGAATTCCAGCTGCATTAGAAGTTCAAGGCGGCAGTCACTTCTACCATTACTGCTCTGTACAACCTGCCAGCCCCGGAGAAATGGGATGGAGGAAGGCAAGGCCTCAGAGGGGGAGGTGGGCGCTGGAACCAGGGCAGACCCACACTCCAGCCCTGCTCCCCAGTCTCCCAAGTTCCTGTGTCATCCACCCCCTCCCCAAGTTCTCCTGCCTCCATCCCCTCTGCTCCCAGCTCCCTCACCTCCAGGCCCCTATCCCATCTCCTATCAGCTTCTCAAAACTCTTTCCTGCCTCAGGGCCTTTGCACCCCCACTGGATCCCAGTCCCTCCTCCACATTCTCACCTGCCACCTCCTTCCTGCCCCCCAGCACTAACTGCTAATGCTGTGTCTCTCCAGCTCCAGCTCGGGGTCTTTTTCTGTGTTCTGGAGTCTCTTCCTCTACCTATCTTGGGGGCTTCTTGTCCTCCTCCTCAGCTCTTTCCGCCTCCTTGAGCGCTGCTGTCTCTGTCTCCCCTTCTTTCTCTCTCTTAGGGGTCTCTCTGACAGTCCCACCACTTTGTGTCCTCTTTCCAGGCTCAGACACCCTCTCTGGTCTCCCTCTCCCCCTTTCCCTATCCCTTTTAAAACTCCATGTCTCCCCGTGTCTACCTGTGTTTCCATCTCTTTCTGCCTCTCTCAAGTTTCCCTCTCTCCACCGCTTGGATTCTTAACTCTCTCCTCAGTCTCTCTCCCTGGCACACTCTGCATGCCTCTCTCTGTCTCTGGTTCGCCTTTATTGCCACCTCCCCATCTCCCAGCAGAGCACTCAGGAGTTCTGAGTCTTGTGTCTCTCGCCCCTTCCCTCCGGTCTCCATCTCTCCCTGTCTCTTAGTCTCTCCTGTCCCAGTCTCCGGGCGCCGCCTTCCCCCCACCCCCTCCCGCGGCTGTGGGTGTCACATTGCAGCCTGCGGGGCTCCGGGAGCAGCTGACTCTGCGTTTCCTCGCCCCCGGCTGGGCGCCCGCAGCCGCGAAGCTGTGCCAGCCCGGCCCCCGCCCGCTCTTGCCCACCCGCACCTCCACCGCCCTCCCTAGCCCCGCTCCCCGCGCGCACAACTTCTGGAGCAGACTTAGCCGGGCCGGGGGATGGGCCGGGGGTGCCCTCGCCCCGCCGTCCCGGCTCCCGAGCGCGAATCCCGCCGCCCGGCCAGCGCCCAGCC